ACCCTTACTACATTATCTCTGGTATGGTTGTTTTCAAATTATAACTCGCCTGCAAGCTCGCCCGCGACGAAATGAGAAGGACACCCGACAGAAAGAAACTAGTATACACCATATCTCGGTGAAAACCATATTAGGCCAACTCCCAAGGTCAAAGTGTTCGCTTCCAACGAAAATTAAACGAGACAATCTTTCAAGGCGCACGCGAGTAGGTGTAGCGGATATGTGCACGCCTTTTCTTTTTGTCTCTTCCCTCTTTTCGAAGACGCAGAGAGGACACAAAATGCTCGTCGACTGCCCACCTTCCGAAAGCTCGAGACAATTACCGACAGTCACAGTTTGCATAATGTCACAACAGGAGGGGACGCTCCGTTTGACAAAAATGGACTGAAAAGGATGTAACATTAACTTGCGTGCTTGCCGAAAGACGTTAAAACACTAAATTGGGAGATATGGATGTTTGTCTGATTTTTTGCTGCTTTTCACCCAATCTTCTAAAAGGTTTAGACTGCCAAATCCCTGTCACCCTTTTCAAGTGTCATTACTTTTTTTTTTTTTACGACATTAGGACACGTTGATAATATACGGCATCACTCAACGATGGTGGTACCGCGATGTGAGAATCGTGCTCCCTAGCTCCTGGATGATCGGCTTCCGAATGAAGGTGCTTGTTTACACCTTCCAGATGTGGAAGTATGAGGTATGACTCTTTCACAAACTTTGAATTACTGCTGTCGCTGTCGGGGAACGCTGGCGTTACCTCTCCTGACATTTAGCTAAGAACTCTGAGCTGTGGTACGGCCGAACCGTGCTACATGCGTTTTGGACGGTATTAAGAAACGGTAGGAAACGTCTACATTCCCGTTGTAATCGACATTATATATTGTTTTCTGAGGTATCCCCTGATAGTTTTGCTGGTTATATATCCAAAAAGCTCCATCCTCATTTACCGACGTCTCACTCTCAACCAAGGCACGGCATGTGTTCAGACTTCAGACCTCATGAAAGAGTGATATAAAAACATAATATATAATTTAATTCTTATGTGTAATCACCGTGGCTCGCTATTTTCCGGTACCATCGTTCGGCGCTATTTGCCGGAAAAAAATATATTTATACAATATATTCTCATAAATTGATTTTATTCGAGGTTTATTTATCTGTATTACAATTTTTGTAGCTGTGGTTCTAACAGCATCAAACTCCGTCTGTAACAACAAAGCGCTCTGCGCTTTCACCAGGGCAGAGAGCTGTTCCATTTTTCTCAAGAAGCACGCAATGCAGTGCGTCATGCATTGCGGCGGACATCTCCTCTTGGAAACAGGCAAGAATTCGACGAGACATTGAGAGCCCTGTTGCTAAAGGTCACAAAAGTGTGACTGGTGACAACAATAAACGCTTCCATAACACACTTGTGTTTTGTGCCTTACCCTAGGACAGTAAGGTAGAAAGTAACGCCGCGAAAGTAACGGATTCCTTATAGAGCCCAGCTCTTATGTGCGCCCGTTTCCGAGTTGAGCGGCATTGCCGTATGCGTAACCGCGCGTTGCATTATGGGACGTTTCCCATAGTGACGTCACGAAAGTAAAATTTTCCCGAAAAATTTGGCGGAAATTTTTTCCGCTAAATTAAGCGGACACATTTCCTTGCCAATTTTAACGGGAAGATGTTACCCTCGTGACGTCACGTGTGGCATCAAGTAAATGAATGTGACGTCCCGTGGAATTTAGCGGAAAAAAACCTTAGCGCTAAATTTAGCCGAACATCTCCCGCTAAATTTAACGGGGAAATTGACGTCACGTGACCTCAATACTAATGCAGTTTTCACGATAAATTTAAAGAAAAATTTTCGCTAAATTTTTTTCTAAATTTAGCGGGAATATTTCCCCGCTAAATTTAGTGGAGAAATTTTCGCTAAATATAGCCGGAAATTCAGCGAAAATTTCTCGCTAAATGGGAGGGGAGCAGGAGAGGAGGAGGGCAGGGTACGGAGGGGGAGGAGGGGCATATCCTCCCCTCGGTACCCTCCCCTCACCTCCTCAAGAGCTGCGCTCTAATTCGACATTATTAAAAATCGTAAACGTCTTTCTTTTTTTTTTTTTGTGGTGACGATCACTTACTTTTATCCAAGGGTAATTGTAACTGTAATTAGTTACATGTAGTGCCTTACTCTTTTTAGTAACGTGTACAAGTAAGTGCATGGTGCTAGAAAACTTGTACTTGAAGTACATTCTCTGAGCATGAACTTGTACTTTACTAAAGTATTTTTTCTCGTACTTTCCGAGCAAAGTACAACTCCGAACTTCAAAACACATTTTCCAAATAAGAATTAAAAAAAAAAAGGCTTATCGTTATATGAAAACGCGCTATCCTCTGGGGGGATTGGTGGCCGAGTAAGCTAGCGCACACCAGCTGGGAGCACGTGGAGCGAAAGCTCGCGCTGCAGAACCCAGAGATCCTGGGGCTCCAATTTCCACCCCTCCCGTTTCGATCTGGATGAGCATCGTACCGGCGTGCGGTCGTGTATCACTACTGCGTGGTGCACGTTATAGACCCCAGGTTAGCGATTGTATACCGCACTGCAGGCACGTAGCCAGGATTTTGTTTCGGAGGGGGGGGGGGGGGGGGGGGCGCCCATGACAAAGTGCTGTATGAGGGTGAGGGGGGAGAGGAGGTCCCAGCAAAATGGAAGATTTCGGGGGGGGGGGGGGGGCGGGCCTCATGGGCCTCCCCCCTGGCTACGTGCCTGCCGCACTGGCTAAATTGCTCTTCTTCAGCTGAGACACCAGGCGCCCACAAAGGCAGACGAATTTCCGGCTGTGTAAACATACATACAACAATTTGCTTGCTTTGTGCTGTCGTCTTTCGAGAAGTCATCTGGTAATGTCTCTGAGTGAAGTAATGGCGGCTATAACGCCGCGATGCAAATATGTGCGCCTTATGAGTTGATTGTGTTAAATAGTTCGTCAGCGAGAGTAAAACAACTACTCTGCGGCGGCTTGACTTTATCCAATACTTGCCGCCATTTCCGAAAAGAAAACAAAAACGGATGCACCTCGATTACCCCTATAGCAGTCCATACCAGTTAAAAGAAAAAAAAGAGAAGACTGTATAGGGGATGAAAGGTGGCGGTTCATCCCCTATACAGTCATCATGTCATGTCATCGTGAAATATTGTGCTAAAAGTACTTGTACTTTAATTTGAAAGTACATTGTGCTTATAGTACTTTACTTCAAGTACATTGCACCCGGTGTACTCACTCTTTACTTGAAGTAAATAACCACTCATTTACTGTGTACTTCACTTCAAATTGTTTTTAGAAGTACTGTAAACAAGCAAAGACTGTCTGAAAAATCAAGCTCAGGCAGTGCTAAACCTCAAAGTAGAAATGATACATCCGCAGCACATATCTTTGATCAAAAACGAAAAAAAAAAGTACAAAACAATTAGGCATACCGAAGCAGAACCAGCTATTAAACTATATCTGTGAAAACACTAGCCGCTTTATATTTGGCTAGCAGAATTTCGCTAAATCTGTACTTTCTTGTTACCATTAATAACCTTAGTTGAACTAAGTCTATTCGTGACCGCGAGCACACACAGGTGGAAAGTGCTTCATGCGGAAAGTGCTCCGGCCGTCGCGAACGGCATTCAGCCTCAAAACGAGCGGTCGCCGTGCGGAGACGCCCGCATGTTGTACGGGTATCTTTGTATGGCGACCGCTCGTGCGGACTGCCGGAATAACCTTGGGGGGGAGAGGGTTTTCGTAGCATCGGAGAGCGTTGAAAGCCCTCGCCTCCGACCGTCGTATTGCGTGGTCGGACGTCGGATCGGACGATTTCGTCGTACATGTGTTTCGCGTTTCGTACAAGCGCGAAACACATGTACGATGAAACCGTCCGATCCGACGTCCGACCGCGCAATACGACGGTCGGAGGTGAGGGTTTTCAACGCTCTCCGATGCTACGAAAACCCTCTCCCCCCCAAGGTCATTCCGGCAGTCCGGACGTCGGATCGGAAGGTTTCGTCGTACATGTGTTTCGCGCTTTATGCGTGATCTCGGAATTCATGTTGATACGGCATTAATTTTTAATGATCATGCATCGGTCATTTGCAACGTCTACCTCAGAACCTGAGGGACATCTTCTCGGTTTACAAAACAATTTACTTCACACTCATACTATCGTCTGATAATTTTGTTGCTTTGTCCGCTCAAAACTTCAGTTTGCATGCGTTGTGATAAATTCTGTAAGTTTTACTTCATCATGTTCAATCGAGCTTGTTCAGAAGCGTTTTCTGGTATTGTGTACTATCGACGTTTTGGACGCAACTTGTACCACAGATATTATGTGTTTCCGAAGGAACTTCGTTTATGCGCTTCGTTCGATAGACGGCGTTATCGGCATATTTAGTTTTTGTATAAGGTTGTCAAGTAAATTAGACTCGTCTGTCCTCTTGGGCTCCGTCTGGTTTCACGTCCCACCGCGTACTCGCCTTTCTGACAAATTCTACTATCCACACGCGCCTTTTACCACATCGCCTATTATAATGCAACTTGAGATTGTCCCCAACTTAAAATATTTTGTGATATAACAACATTTCGCCGATCTCGGTGGTATATATTACTTGCGTAGCTGGTTTTTTTTTTTTTTTTTTTTTAGAGTTGTGTTATATTTGTTGTGTACCACACAGAAGGCCTTGAGCTGTTTGTGGACACATCAGAATAAAGATTTATATAATTATACAGTATTTCACTGGCTGGAGCATATTCATTGCAGGACTCGCAGGAACACCCGCACGCTACGTTACAGATGAAGTTTTTTTTTTTTTTTTTTAATATTTTCAATGCAAGCTCGCAGCCTTGTCATTCTCTCCGGAAACCGGAGCGATTGGTGCTCTGCTTGTTCCGCAAGGAATCGGACGCACCAATTTCGTAGTGTATTTCGACTTGAAAATATACCGATATATGCGCTCATTTTTTCCAGTCGTTGATGTTCGAGCGATGACGCTGACAGCGCAGTGCGGCTCCCAAACACTGACTCTGCGGAACAAGCTGCTGGCAATGCACAAGCCCCCGACCCTCAAGGCGCACCCGAGGAGCAAGCGATCACAAAACAGTGCCAATGATACTATCAAGGTAAGCGTTGAGATACACATGCTGCCGTGTGATCTTTACTCGGTGCAACATTCCATCAAATATAGGTTGCGTTCAGCGCTATCAGAGGCACGGGGGCGATACGCGGCTGTGCAGAACGATATATATATATATACTGGGGAAAATTGTGAGGAAAGAGTGCACGCGGTAGATGTCACAAAACCAAGCAACAGACGGAGAACATGGAATCGATAGTTCGCGGTGAAGCTCTTGGTTGCTTGGGGTTAGAAAAGGGTTCAGTCACTTTTAAGAACCAAGACGTATTTCGAAGAAATAGAAACACACGTGAGGCATACGCCATACGGCGATAATATTAACGAGGTTACAAAGTGTATATCGCCCTGCGGTCTCGGAAGGGGCAACATATTTGGCGGGTGCGCCGATAGAAATGGAGGACAAAAGGATCCCTCAAAGAGGAAGCTAGACGATCACTGGAAAATGTCTGTCTACTTACCCGCAAAACACTCCAAGAGCGAATCTCAGTGATCTACGAAATCAGCTCAGCGAATGATGAGGCGGAACATCCGTTTAGACCTAAAAATGAAGTCTGCGCTGTGGCATTACGCAATTCAAAGCGTCATGCTTGCATTGCGTAATGCCACAGCGCAGACTTAATTTTTAGGTGTAAACAGATGTACCGCCTCATCATTCGCTGAGCTGATTTGGTTGATCGCAAAGATTGACTCTTGGAGTGTTTTGCGGGTAAGTGGACGCGCAGGCATTTTAAAGAGAGGAGGGAACTGCGAAATTTTACACGACTGCATTTAGCGCAAATGTTAACGGGAAGCAGTACAAAAGTGCCAAAACTGGTTCCATCCTCGGAAACCGTATACTAAAACATAACAGGGCTCCTCGTAAACCGTAAGTAGTTTTCATTTTATGTTGCGAATTAAGATATCGTGTTTTCTGGACTATGCCAGAGGACTACACGGGCTTGTTTAAAAGTTAATATTTTATGTGGCGCGGACTATCTACAGGTGCGGAATATACAAAGATTTTTTTTTTTCTAACTTGTTTATTATGACGAGATGCGACGGATTTCAGGAATGACAGAGTAGGCTCATGGGGATTTATGCACAATACAAACATATACGTGAGCAAATGAAGCATCATTTGTTAAGGCGTGCTCTGTATCAGAATTCTTACGTATATATACGGCACCAGGTGCAGACTATCTTAAGGTTTTTTTTTTTTTTTGTCTTTCAACGGAAATTTGCTTTAAGATATACTATACACCGGGTGCTGACAGTAGTGCGAAAAGTATGGTACTTGTATGCGCGTATTATACAACTTATTTGTTATTTTATCATAACTAGGGCTCCGTGTTTTCGGATAAATCCGAAAAACCCCGAAAACCACACGCCGGTAAAATGCCCCCCCCCCCCCCCCCCTCCCAGGCAAAAAAAAAAAAGTAAAATAATTTTTTTTTTTTTTTTTTTTTACGGTTTCATCAGCACAGATCCAATGGTCCTGGGGAAAATCCACCATAATTATCTTTCAAATCCCGGACAGTTGCCAAAAGGGGCCTTGTCGCTTGTCCCTTCAAGGTTGATTCAGAGCAACAGGTCTTTCGTTGTACATTTGGGTCACGGAAAAAGCCACTATTTTGATTTTCAGTTGGCGCCATGGGATGTGTGATTTAGAGCAAGGAATTCAGTAACAGTGAAAGCTATGGACCATAGGGATTGTATAAAATTGGGAAGAGGGGCAGTCCAAGCACTCCACCTCGCACGGCCGCGGGCTAGATTGATGGAATAGGATGGGATGACTACGAGTTTCCTAGCGACTACCTCCGGGAGTTTCTTGATTTTAAGGTATCGGCGTTTAATGAAGCGCCACTTGTGTGACTTTTGTCGTGGGAAATTAGTATTGCTAATGGCATTGGCACCAACGCCAAATTCAACTGAAAATGTCTCAATTGATACAAGCGCGTTTTATTTTTTCATCTGGCATACGTTTACATCCGATTATTATTTATTATTTATTATTAATAGGAAACACAGCGAAATTAAACTCCGAATTCCTGAGAATCGGGAATAAAAAAAAAATATAAACTGCGATAAACTCCGAATCTTCGGCAAAAAATAAACTCCGAAAAACACCCTCCGAATTCGACGAAAAATAAACTCCGAAAACACGGAGCCCTAATCATAGCGTACACCGCTCAAAAAGACTAGTTTCTTCTCGGACAACTAAATCTTGCAAAGGCGCTGATGCACATGAAGGAAACACCATGGCGACATCAACACAACATGTTCATCAACAGTCTGTCAACTTGTTGCCCGTTGACTCGGTTGCCCAACAGTCCTGTCATGTTTCGAGGACATCAGCGCAACATAGACTACATCAACAGTGTTGCCTCGGTGTAATAGCTTTCGGAAACCCAAACAGTATCAACTTGTGTCGGACAATGCGTGTTGCCCGGTTCGGTGGATTGTAGAATTTTGTGCTGAGAACACGTCAACAGAGGTATACACTCTAATAAAAACCCGTGCGTCTGCTTTCCCGCACATCACCCGGAGAGCCAATCACCGCAACTTACGGATGCAGCTCAGCGAATGACAATGCCGAAACATATGTTTCGACGAAAAAACGCAGTCTGAGTTGTGACATTAACAAGCGTGACGTTTTGCATTGCTTAATGTCACAACTCAGACTGCGTTTTTTTGGTCTAAGCATATATGTTCGGCAGCGTCATTCGCTGTTCGGCCTCCGTAAGTTGCGGCGATTGGCTCTCTGAGTGTTGTGCGTGAAAGTAGACGCACAAACTTTTTTTAGAGTGTACCCTCTGACGGTGAAGCGCCCTATCAATAACGTATTTTGTCTGAGAAATTACCCAAATAAAAGCCCGGCAATTTAGATACCAAGCCTGGTTTGCAGCTGACATAATTTCATAAATGTCGTTAACGATAATTTCGGCCAGAATAATAAAAATAACATGCCTACTCACTCGCTGAAAATGTGTTAACATTTATCCTGGAAAGTGAGCAATGCAGAAGCCGGAGCGTGAAAACGACCGCTGCCGATCATGAGTGTTGATGCTCAGAGCTTGAAGACGGCCTCTGCCGGACACAATCGTTTTAAAACCTCAGGCAGTTTTGGCGAATGATGCAATCCCAAAGCAGGCAGGAGAAACAAACAGGCAACGTCGAAAAATGTTTATTATACCAACCGTCAGTCACAGTTTTTAAACCATGTCGCTCAACTGACTGCCTCCTTACACAAAACCCATGGTGTACAGCATACATCGGCAAACCTCATTCATGAGGGCCCTCACTCACCCTCATCTTCACCGGTGAGGTCAGGGGGAGTGAGTTTCTGAACCAGGAAAATTCATGAGTGTGCACTCTAAAAAAAGCCCGTGCGTTTACTTTCCCGCACAACACTCGGAGAACCAATCAGCGCAACTTACGGAGGCAGCTCAGCAAATGACGATGCCGAAACATATGTTTAGAATAAAAAAAAACTCAGTCCGAGTTGTGACATTAATGCAAGCGTGACGTTTTGCATTGCTTAATGTCACAACTCAGACTGCGTTTTTTGGTCTAAACATATGTTTTGGCATCATCATTCGCTGAGCTGCCCCGTAAGTTGCTGTGATTGGCTCTCCGAGTGTTGTGCCGGAAAGTAGACGCACGGGCTTTTTTTTAAAGTGTGAGGGTGAACGAGGGCCGTCAGGGCTGTGAGGACCGTGAGGGCCGTGAGGGCGGTGAGTGCGTGAAGGGTGTGAGGGCCTAGAGTGCGTGAGGGGCGTGAGGGCAATGAGTGGCGTGAAGAACATGAGTGCGTGAGGGGCATGAGGGCGGGGAGGGCGGTGAGTGCGTGAGGGGTGTGAGGGCCATGAGTGCGTGAGGGGGTGAGTGTGTGAGTGGCATGAGTGCGTGAGGGGCGTGAGGGGTGTGAGGGCCATGTGGGCGGTGAGTGCGTGAGGGGTGTGAGGGCCATGAGTGCGCGAGGGGCGTCAGGGCTGTGTTGTCAGGGCCTCAGGAACTCAGGACTAAAACCAGCGTCTGTTGAGAATCAGCCATTTAATCATCTGTCTCGAGCGCCCCCCCCCCTCCCCCCCCCCCCCCTTCTTCATCGTCGTCTTTTCCGGCTCACGCCTCGCCGGACTGACGACACAAAGAAAAAAAAAAATTTTTTTTCTCGAAACAAGCGAGCAACTCGGAGCAATTCGAAGACGTTTGAAGCGGCTGCATCCATTCAGGAACGCGGTATTTTCACGTGATACCTCGTGCCGGTGATGATGACAACAGAAGACTTGGTTCTGGTTTGAAATTGATCGTTTTTGGAAATAAACTGCTTCAGAAAGATGCATTATTATTCTCAAAGATATTTAAATGCATAAAAACGTTTATAGCGCGTAAATGTGTGTCCAAATAGTGCAATAAAAATAAAATTTATGATGATGATGACAAATTGCAGTAATTGGTTGCTGCGTGTGAATGCGGGCGGCCCGTGTTGCTGGTGTTGCGACGTAAAGTTTATGGCCGAAATGGCCCCATCTGAAGCGGGCCCGAGTGGCGTGAGGGCCATATGAGTGCGTGAGGGCCGTGAGGGCGGTGAGTGCGTGAGGGGCGTGAGGGCCATGAGTGAGTGAGGGACGTGAGGGCGGTCAGTGGCGTGAGGGGCCATGAGTGCTTGAGGGGCGTGAGGGGTATGAGTGCGTGAGGGTCGTGAGAGCGGTGAGTGCGTGAGGGGCGTGAGGGCCATGAGTGAGTGAGGGGCGTGAGGGCGCTGAGTGGCGTGAGGGCCATGAGTGCTTGAGGGGCGTGAGGGGTTTGAGTGCGTGAGGGTCGTTAGAGCGGTGAGGGGCGTGAGAGCCATGAGTGCGTGAGGGGCGTGGATGCGTGAGGGGCGTGAGGGCATGAGTGCGTGAGGGCCATGAGGTTCAGTGAGGGTGAGTGAAGGAATGAAGGTGAGTGTGACTGTGAGGATGAGGGTGAGTGAGGGGCTTAGGTGAGTGTGGCTGTGAAGGTGAG